AGTCTTTCCCCACTTTAGTATGTCCTCCACTCAGTTGTCAATTTGGTTTTACTCAATAATATCTGATCATTTCATTCTTGTATTTGGTCAACTTCAGTGGCTTCTTAGAAGGATCCCTATTAACCTCAGTGTCTCCTGGATCAAAAATTAAATCTTCTATTTGACTCCTAAAGCCCTCCACAACCTGGTCCCTCCCCATCTTACCAGTCTTCTTACTCCTTGCTACCTTCCAAGTCCTCAGTCATCAAGTGACACTGACCTTCCTGTTTTTCCTTTCACAGAACACTCTGTCTCTCTGCTCTATGAATTTATATAGGCTGCCTCCAAGCCTGAAACTCTCTCCTTGTCTTCATTTCCTAGCTTCCCTGACTTCTTTCAAGCCTCAGCTAAAGTACCACCTTCTACAAGAAACCTTTCCTGAGCCTCTCAATACTAATGTGTTCCCTTTGTTAAATATATCTATATAGATTGATACATAGATCAATAGATAGACATACAGACTAGTCTATATATTGATCTAGCTGTAGATATATGTCTCTATGATCTATCTATAATCTTATTTGTAAATAGTTATTTGCATTTGTCTCCCCCCTTAGATTGTAAGCTCTTTTTAAGTAAGAACTGCCTTGCTTTTCTTTCTATTACCATTGCATTGGACAGTCTTTAGTACATAGTAAGCATTTAGTAAATGCTAGTTGGCTGAAGGCTCATTGACTATGAGGCAAGAGGAGGGTGGGAGATTAGGGCAGATATATAGATGTTTTGAGATAGAGAGAAAGAAATGAAAAGGTTTATTCCTTATTCTTGTGGCAGGCTTTAGATGTGAAGCAGAAGATTTAATATTTTATCCTGGAGGCACTGAAGTTGATAGTACAAATAAGCAAAAGCCAATTGTATTTAAAGATGGAAAGAGAAGAAACTGATGAATTATGGATAACAGTTTTGATATGTGGTCACTACCTGTCAATCATTATCACACAAAAAAGCCATTAAAGTTCTAATAATGAAAACAGAGGTTGAAATCATTCTCTAAGTGTGATGGAGTTATTGCTTATGCCTCTGAATGTGAAAGTACTGTCAAATGTAGTATCTAAATACAATATGATGTTCATTTGCTCCTGAAAAGACATTTCCAGGAAAATCTGGTAAAATTTCCTGACCTGGTTTCCTTACAGCACCTGGGAAAATCCCACTCATTAAATTCAGTGTTCATTTATTAAATGATTGCTCCATGCAAATCACTGTCCTAAATGCTAAAAGTATTTTTTTAATGGTATAGTACTTGCCCTCAAGGAACTTATATTCTTCTTGTGGAGAAGGGGATAAAATGAGGCACACATGTGCATAATACAGTCTTGGTTATTTATTTAGGAGAGATACAAAGACCTCTAAGAAAATAGGAAGGATAGATAATTTTCAGTTTAAAAATTAGTGTTCCTAAATCTTGGCAGTACAAATTGGAAGTATCCGATGCTCCAGAATTTGACCACAAGAGTCCACACATATTCCTAAAATATGTCAGGTATGCTGGTGAAGTGCTTATGTGTGTTTTGTGCTACTGAAATTATGGTCCTCCAATCCATTCAGAGAGAGGTGATACATGACATTAAACTTTTTTTGTGAAATACATAAAGCACTACATTATAATGTGAAATCCATTAGCACTATGTTATAAAATAATTTAATTATAAGAATTTATAAATTTTCCTTTTCTTTTCTTCTGCTCCCCTCTCTCTCCTTCTCCTTCTCTATCTTCACCTCCTCCATCTCTTTCTCTTTCTAGATGTCCTCCTCCACCACCTTCTCCCTCCCCCTCTCTCTCTCTTCTTGCTGATTGGCATAGGAGTTTTAAACTGCTTCATATCCAACCTTTATCTCTCATAGATAGTCAGATACCTTCTCCTCCCCTCATACATAACTGGAGGCTTAGATTTAGCACAAGGATGGGATTCACTTTTAGCTGTACTGCATCTTTGAACTCTAAAGCTCAAGAAATTCACCAGGCTCAAGTTTTGTGTAACAGGGATTAAAGGCTTAGAACACTATTCCTGTTTAAATTTTTCATTATGACATGAATCATTGTCCTTTATTTTCAATACTATATCTTTTGGATTATGTCCCATGAATTCATTTGTACTTAGAACTACCAGTAAGGAAATTCACTATACCAATACAGGTCCACACCTTTTGTGCAACTTACATTCTTGAAAAATACCTAGAGAACCAAAAGAACGAGTGAATTCCCTGGTGTCATACAGTCAGTATGTGTCAGAGACCAGGCTTCAACTTAGTTATATCTATCTCATTCTAAGGACAGTCCTCTGTCTGCTATGCCACAATGCATTGCATCTCTGGGATACTCTTATTTTAATTTTTTAAAGATATATTATTTTATTTAAGTAAGTATTCTTTCTACCAACATAGATCGTAATCTCTCTAAGTCTTCATAGTCTTCCTGAATTGTGGAGCCAAAAAAACCTATCACCCTGTGGCCAGTTATTAATATGCCTGAATTTAGCTAGGCTGAGATATGCAGCACATTACAGATGAGTTCTTGAAGCCCTTTATGACTGGTAATACCTTTCAAAATTTGCATTCTCTTAGCTTTTGTATATCCAGGATGATTTCCACACCATTATAGGATATTAAAGTAGGATTTTAATATTTTGTTCTTAACTTCTTTACAAAAATAAAATATATAGTTGCATCTTTGGCCTGTAACAGGATTTGTAACATAGAGTTATCTTACTCAAGTATAGATCTGAGTTCAGAGCAAACCTATCTTATGCATTTCAGATTAGGCAATATGGCATCAAAGTGGTTAACGATCAAGAAGTTCCAAATGGCTAATTTCTGTATTGTTTTGTAGTGGTGGATAAAGTGTAAACAGTTTGAAGAAAGTACAGTGTGTGTGTGTGTGTGTGTGTGTGTATGTGTGTGTGTAGGTTGGAATTAAATCAGTACACCTATCATCAGAGCTTATAGAAAAATATTTCTCATATGAGATTTAAAAGTAACGTCATATTGTAAAAATTACTTCAAAAATCTTTTTTGTAGAATAAAACAAAACTAGATTCTGTGCAGCTGTGCCCTACAGTTAATTTCTTTATAGAAATAATAAAAAGATAATTCAATGGTATTTAAAAGCACTTATTTATTATAATGATCAGACCTCTCTTCTTTGGATCTTATTAGTATTCAAATGTGAAAAGATAATGATAATAAGTTATGACCAACAGATAGCCAGGATGAATCACTGCTATCCATTGTCACAAGATCTATAGGGAGAACTCCAACATGGTAGGCAGGTCCCCTTATGAAGTATTTATGAGAAAATGAATGAATGAGTTAATTAATTAATTAAACATTTATTATCACTTAACTTTGTCCAAAACACTGTGTTAAGCAAATTGGATACAAAGAGAAAAGTAAGACAGTCCCTGCTCTCAAGTTGTTCATATTCCAACGAGTGGACAACAAACATAAGTCCGGTGTCAAGGTCCCATGGTCTTTGGGGTACAGTGACAAAAAAGATGTCGATGATTCTTCTTTAATATCATTTCAAAATATAAAATTATATTTGTTTCTGATACTGAACTATTCCACTAAGGTCTTTGGTGGCAAGAATTTTCTTTTCTTGGTCTTCAGAAGCTATGGTTGTAGTTGCTGCAGGAGCCTAGAAACTGTCTCCATGAAGGTGTAATGGCTGAGGGCAGTGGGCCAGAAACACCGCTATTCCCAAAACTCTTGGATTACATATTCCAGGGCTGTCTCCATTATGATTTGGGGAAATATGGAGGTCTGGGTTGTGCTGATGGAATTACTTGCTTGGCACATATTTTTTGTCTTGTGGGGCCTTGCTGCTTCAGCTAGGCTGGCTTGTCTACTTGTGTGTGTGGCAGTTGGTTAGCAATCTTTGACAGTGTCTAATCCCTTCTCTAAGAGGGCTAGAAGCAGGCCTAGTGGTCTGGGAGATTCTACTACTCTCGGGCCCATGTACCTATTTGATTATTGGTAACAGTTGGTCTATAGCTGTTGCTAGTGGTAATGAAGAAGGTGTATTTCTTCTCCACAATGATTTCTCCCTCTCAGTGATAGCTACTGGGTCTTGATTGCAAATGGGTCTGGTATTTGAGGGTCACTGCTATTCACAAGGCTCTTGGACTCAGGGTCCTGGTTTTTTCCATCAGCATTTGAGGGGAAATAACAGTCAAGGTCATGATGGTGGTTTGACTTGCCTGGCACATGCTGCCTCCTCTCTCCTTCAAGCTACCTGACTGCTTCAGCAAAACTGGCTTACCTGTGGCTACATGGATAAGAGCCCTTCAAGATTAGAAGACATAGGTACCACTGGAGGAAGTGGTCATATTGATGATATTATAGATCCATAGAATTTTTAAAAATAAGCATATATATGTGATATATGTGTATATACACACATGTTTTTTTAATCTAAGCAGCTGTATTTACTGACATAGATAGTTCTTTTAATTTATTGACTGTTACTATAGAAGACCTTTGTTCTTTTTGTTTTTCACCTCCATTATTCTTACAAGCCAGGAGTTCTGACAGCTGCTTGCAAGCTCCTTGGGGTTTGTTTAAAACAATAGGGAGGTTGCCTAGCAACCTCACATCAGATTTTTGGTACCCTATTGAAACTCACATTCCAAGCTACTCTGCACATCTTCACCGGATAAAGAAAAAAATATACAGTATAATCAGAACTGTTTATAAATGTTCCTCTTTCTGAAATATGTGCACCAAAGTACACAGTCATTCTGAATGTCATGTGGTTCAGAATGTAGATTGTCATAAAGTCTAAAGAAGCCCTCTGAAGGTTGACAAGCATCTGAGAAAATTCAGCCCTGTTTCCAAAAAAGCAATAGATAAAGGCTTCTCCCTTCCATGGATTATGGAATATGCCCTTCCTGCACAGCTAGAAGGGGAGAATTATAGGATCATAGGATTTAGAATTGAAAGAACCTTAGTGTCTGACTTACTTATTTAGGGATGCATCTCAGAGAGATTAAATGGTCTTCTCAAAGCTTTTCATATTTCATTCTGCAAAAAGTGGAATAGTTTAAGTAAAGATAATTCACATTTTCATAACATTTTAAAGTTTAAAAAGCACCATGCTCATAACAGCCCAATAACAACCCTGTACAAACATTATCATCTCCATTTAAGAGAAGAAGAAACAAAGGTTTAAAGGTAATTAAGTACCTTGACCATAAATCATTCATGTAGTAGGTTTTAGGGCTAAGAAGAGAGTTTGTGGGTGACTCTAAAATTAGATTCTTAATCTGTCAGGAATCTATAGAAATCCCTCTTCATCATGTTGTGAGATCTCTCTATCCTCCTGTCTCCTGCATGATTGGTGTTCTCTGAGGGAATACGGCATTCCTGAAGACTCCACTCTTCCATTACCCTACCACTTTTGTTGAGGTTTAGTTGCTAGAGACATTCTTATTAACCTTGAGTGATTTAAATAATTTCACCCAGTAGCTTTAGAAACAGTTATAGATAATTTTGGGTGTGTTGTCATCTCATTAACAAATGAGAACTATGCCTTCAGGTAGAATATAATTTGAGAGAGAATTAATGATTAGGGGCAACAGGAAAGGCTACCTGTAAAAAGTAGCACCAGAATTGGGACCTGAAGGTAGTTAAGGATTTTAAAATTCAGAGGTGAGGAAAGAGGCCATTCTAGGAATGAGGGAAAACCTGTGAAATAGCATGAAGACAGAAGAGGTTCAAGGAAAACTAGGTACGCTAGTTTAGATGGAATAGTTTAAAGGGGAATAATATAAAACAAGTGTACAAAGGTGGACTAGCACCACACTGTGAGAATTTTATATATCATGCTAAAGTTCATATTTTATCTTAGAGTTAAGAGGAAAGCATTGAAGATTTTTGAGCAGTGGGATAAAATAGTCAGACTTGTTCTTAAGGAAGATTATTTTTGTAGTTTTGTAGGGGAAGTGTCAGAGAGAATAGTTTCTAAAAGTATAAAAACCAATTATGAAATATTGCAATAAGTCAGGTGATATTTGATGATGGCCTGAGAAAAGTAGTATTTATTTGAGTGAAGAGGAGATGGATGCGAAAGATGTTGTAAAACTATTAGAGATAGAATTAACAAGACTTGGAAAATGATTGGATAGGGGGTGGTAGAGGTGAGGGAGAGGAAGGTTGAAAATGACCCAGAGCTTGAGAACCTAGGGAAATGGAATGATTGTGGTGCTTCACCATCACAAAGAGGAACACGGAGAGGAAGGGCTGGTTTAGGGAGAAAGATAATGAGTACCATTTTGGATGTGCTGAATGGGAGATATTTAAGTTCAGAAGTCTAGAAGGCATTTGGAAATGAAGGACTAGAGCTCAGAAGCAAAAATAGAGTCAGATGTATTACTCTTGGAGTCATTTGCATAGAGCTAATAATTGAACTCATGGGGGCTGGTGAGATCAGTAAGAGAGTATGTAAGAAAACATGGAGCAGAGTCACTGGTGATGTCCATACTTATTGATTGGGAGAAGTATGATTAGGAAAAAAAAGGAGAATGAGAAGAAGCATCAAGAGAGAGAAAAGGAAAACTAGAAATAAGTGTTAGGAAAGCCAAAAGAAGAGAAAGCATTCAGGAAACACAGGTGGTTGGCAGTGTCAGAAGCTGCAGAAATGTCATGAAGACAGAAAATATCACTGGCTTTAACAATTAAGAGATCTTTAGTAAATTTGGAAAGGGTCATTTCAGTCCATGGGTGGAGGTGGAGACATATTACAAAGGTTTTGGTATGTGAATCATATAAAGAAATGGAGATAATTATTGTAGAGAGCTTTTTTAACAAAAATTCAGGATATAAAAAAATATGGTGCACCTTTTTTACTTAAATGACAAATTTACTTACATGATGACTACCTACCATTTGAAAGTACTTGAAACACCTTATCAACATTATCTCATTTGAACTTTCAATAGCTTGTGTTTGCATTCATGTGGGTAGTCTCACTTCTAAAGATCTGAACCCTCCATATCTTAGTAAATAATCCTTATGGCATGTTGGGGCTAAAAAAGCATTATGCTGTGGTTATTGTTTTGATGATGAGTCTCTTTAAACCTAACTAAGTTCTCTGACAGCAGACCTACAGTCTGTTACTGGGCCCATCAGTCTCTCCAAATGGGTAGGACATAAACGAACCTGACAACCGCTGCCATCCTCACTGAGAACCCACAGTCAACTCTATGTAATGATAAGTTATTAGAAAAGTTTAGTGGTGGTTTATCACAATTACGATAAAATAAACATGTACACGTACCTATTTGCAAAAATGAATGCCCAGTAGGGGATAGAGTACATTTTTCAAAAAAAAAAATTATAGCTGCCAACAGCAAGGGAAAGCAAACACTACCACACAATATGTACAATAGTTCTTCAATCTTGAGTTCATTTCCTCATAATCATACTATACATGAAACCTCATTCAGATTAGAAACAATTGTGATTCATGACCTAAAACCCTTACTGCTCCTGAAATACTAGTCAATGTGGTTAATATTTAAATATTATTGAAGACTCTGAAGATGAAGTTGTACTGTTTTCTCATTTGTGTTTGCCATCTGTTTTTTAGATTTCACTCATTGTCTGAAAAATCTCTGATAAGAATTCAAATCTTTACTTTTTTTCCTTCATCTACTTAAAACCACAGTTATGATGACTCATAATATGTTCAATAAGTGCTTTGGAAACAGTGAGTTCATAATATTTTCTGAAACCATATGTCTGGCCAATAGAACAAGGAGAAAATGGGGAATTCAAGAGGTTGGTATCTGAACAATTCAATCTTGAGGAAAACCCAAACAAAACACAGGCCCTGAGGAAGATGTGGAATTGAGGGTGCCAAATTCATCCAAAGTGTCTGCAGTGATCAAAGTCACTGAGTTGGAGTTAGGCTGTCTACTTTTCTGTACTGGATCACAGCCATAGTGGTATCTTCCTATTTCTCATGTATTCTATTCAATCTATTTAAGATTTAGTCCTGTTTGGCAAAAAATCTAAAGGTGAATCTGAGGAAGAATTAATTAATAAGTTAGGGAATTCAGCCTTCTTGTTTTTCATTCCTTCCTCTTAACCTGTTACATCTGTCTAAAATTAGAAGAGAGAAAAGGAAAAAGAAGTTGGATTTAGTAAGTATGAGACTGTGAGGGCTTTCTTGTTAATAAATTAGGCACACTGGGACAATGGTTTTATCATTTCAGTTCTACAGAGTATAATTTAACATAAATCTCCTCATACTCTAATGTTACTAATTTTGAGAAAATAGGCAGCAATAAATGCAACCTAGTTTCTGAAGACCTAAGGGTTTTTTGTTGTAATGTTACAAGGAATGCAGAAGCAATTAATAATATAATTTTCTATCATTTTACTACCATTTGGAAGTTGTGAGTGATATTCTTGCCAACATTGCTACCATATATCCACATTTATCCAGAATAAATAATATAGCATTTAAAGGCAAGAGAATTTCAATGAAAATACAGATCTAAGGTGTGAGATGAGTAAAAGAAAATTTTAAATATGTTGACATAATAATGTTTCAAAGCCAGAAAAAAAAGTTAAAGAAGGGAATGAGAGAAAACTTGTTACACTAAGAAGTTATGAAATGACCAATAATTTTTATCTATGTTCTGCAGCCTCATATGTAGAACTACCTCTTTCTTATGCTACAAATCCATTTAGCGAGTTACTGAGTTCTGTGTTGAATACTAGTAAATAGTCTTTATATAACAATCCTTTTATTGTTATACAAGCACTTTAAGCTAAAGTTCATAATATGAATCACAACTATAGAAACTCGTAATTGGCAAAATGCCACTTGGCATTTATGAGGAATAAACACATAAACAGCACAAAGCTCCCAGCCTAGTATAATATTTTCCATGCATATGTCAATTAATGGATCCCTGATTTCATCTATATGCATATTACATCTACTGGGATAGATGCTTTCTCAGATGAAAATAATTTGTTAAAGAAATTTTGGCATATATATCACTGCCAGTTGTCCTGTTTGATCTTGAAAGGCTCTTGGAACCATTGGACTTATTAACTGGATCTCACACCAAGTTTTCTTCAAACTCATTTATCCCTCAAAAACATCTCTCGATTTCATAAGGCATTACTACTCATAATCTTCAACCATATGATTTTAGAAATGAGTTAATATTCCAAAAATGTGTTTCAACTTACTAAAGAAATTGCTTTCTGACTGAAATAATTTCTGGCCTCCTCATTTTGGTGGTTGCTTTGCATCCTTCAAATTTCCATAGAAAATATGATAGTGTATTTTCCTATCCATTTCCTATTGTTAACTAGTCTTAATAACTTAAAAATAGCATATTTTGTAGTTGTGGTAAACAGTTTTCAAGATATATCTTCATTTTATTTAAATTTGGTATTCATTTTTATGATGATGTTGATTTTAATAAGTTTATGCTCTGACTGCACAAAAACTTTTTATTCAGAAGTGATTCCTACATTTTTCACAGGTTATTTTTCTCTTTTTCCCCAAAGAAAATATCTTGTGCTCATTTTGTGTGTGGTTAGAATATTTTTATATGTGTACATCTACCACCAACAGAATATAAACCCCTTGAAGGCAAGGACTGTTGCATTTTTGGCTTTGTCTCCCCAGAACCTAGTACGTAGTAAGAGAATGAAAAATACTTACCAATTAATTGATAGATTGTCTGATTAAAAAAAAAGAGCACATTTCATTTATTGTGATAATATTTGGCTCTCACTATATCCAGTGCCTTTAAGACAACAAAGTAGCAGCTAAATAGAGCACTGAAGTTGGAGTCAGAAAGATCTGAGTTCAAATATAGCCTCAAACGTTTACTACTTGTATGACCACAAAGAAGCCATTTAACTTCTAACTCAGTTTTTTCATCTGTGAAATAAGGATGATAATAGCACCTTCTTCTTAGGGTTCTTATAAGGACCATATGAGTGATATGTGAGAAATATATATGTATGTATGTACGTATGTATATGTGTGTGTGTATATATATACATATGCATATATATATTATGTGTACATATTTATATGCAACATTAAATATGATTAATCAAGAGTTTAGAATGGAACATTACACTCTAGATTAGTCTGTCTAGAGCAAAGTAGAGCAGTAGTATCACTTCCATAGTCTTAGATCCTATGTCAGTTGTTATACAGCCTAACACTGCTTTACTTTGGGGGCTGCTTTGGAGAGAGAGACAGACAGAGAGAGAGAGAAAGATAGTCTCATATGTGTGTGTGTGTGTGTGTGTGTACACAGTCAGCTCACTAGTTATATGTGTATGTGTATATGTATATGTACATTGTATATATGTATACACTCACATTTACGTACATGACACATCCTCCTTATGTCCACTAAATCAACAATGTGAGGGTTTCAGTTAACTCCAAGTGAGTTAACTGCAACCCTCACATTGTTATGTAGATACACACACACACATGCATATACACACATTGTACACATATGCATATGTGACTCATGTTCAAGTCAACAACATGTGTGTGTATATACATATACATATACATATACATATATATGTATATACATATGCATATACATATATATATGTATATATGTATATATATATATATATATTCCACAATGTGGACATTTTAGTTCACAAGTTCTATAAGCTATATGGAATGTAGCCCCAAAGTAGTCTTAGACTGCATAACATAAGATATTGGTTCAAGATTATAGTCTTGATAGTTGTGCTCTCCTCTGCTCTGGTCACACCCTTTTGGTGTGTAATGTTCCATTCTACACTTGTTCATTTAATGAAGGACGTTGTTAAGCTGAAAAGTGTTTAGAGTAAGGCAAACAGGATACAAAAGCCCTCAAATTCAGGCCACGTGAAGATTGATGGAGAAAACTGAAGATATTCAACTTAGATAAGAAGTTTTGGGGGCATGTCATGATAACTGTTTTCAAGTGTGTGATATGCCAGAGGAAGTATTTGCTTTGTTTTATTAGTGCCATAGGCCAAAATAAAAATTACAGGTGACATTTCAGAAAGGCAGATTTCAGCTCCATGTAAGGAAAATCTTCCTAACATTTAGAGGTATGGAAAAGAGGACTGATTTACCTCCACACATAGTAGTTTGCCTCTTGCTATGTGTCTTCAAACAAAAGCTGGATGACTTTATTGCAGATGTTATAAAGAACATTTGTGTTCAAGTATAGATTAGACTAGATATGTGATTCTTCGCCTCGGTGCCAGGAACTTCAAAAACAATTACAGAAAAAGGAAAAGAACCAACATGTTCTAAAATTTTTATAGCAGCTCTCTTTGTGATGTCAAAGAACTAGAAATTACTAGGATGTCCATCATTTGGGGAATGGCTGAACAAGTTTTGGTAAATGATTGTAATGGAATAATAATGTGCTATAAGAAATGATGAGCTCAATGATTTTAGAAAAACATAGAAAGACTTGCACAAAATAATGAAGAGCGAAATGAGCAGAACCAAGAGTGTATTGCATATTGTAATAGCAATATTGTTTTGAAAATGACTTTGAGGAACAGCTAAGTGGTGCACTGTATAGAGCACTGGCCCTGGAATCAGAAGGTCCTGAGTTCAAATCTGGCCTCAGACACTTGACACTTACTAGCTGTGTGACCCTGTGGAAGTCACTTAACCCCTATTGCCACACACACACACACACACACACACACACACGCAAAAAGAACAACTTTGAGTGAAATACCCAAATTAGCTTTACGGACATATGAAGAAAGGCATTATCTGCAGCCAGAGAAATAACTGATAAATAGGAGTATGTATAGAATAATTTACCTATCTATACCTATTTGTGTCTAATGGTAGCCCTCTCTAGGGTGGTGTGGGGCAGAGGGAAGAAAAAAGAATTCACATGATAATTTTGTTGTATATTTGAAAGGAATGGCAAGTTGTGCACAATAGATCTGCAGTTTCATGTGCAATCATCTTTTTTATGTTATTTTGTTACAGTAATTCTTGTTTTATTCCACAAATTAAAAATAAAGTTAAAAAATATTGTATTACAATGCAATTTTTTAAAAAAATATTATTTATTTATCTGATCATTCTTTTTTTTTTAATCTTGAGTTTAAAATTCTCTCCCTGTCTACCACACCTCCTCTACACACTCTTCCTGAGTGTGTTTCTTGGTCTTCTCTGCCACTGTGCTATTTTTTTATAGTCACTGTTGTTTGCTCATTTTTCTAGCTTTTTTCTTGACTTTAAATTTTATGTTAAAGTTGAGCTCTGAAAAACTTGGTTTGTTTGGAGAGGCACTGTCCCAAACCTCAGGCTTTTTTTGTGCTGCTGTTTTCAGAGCTAATTCTGTGGGTCTGCAAGTTTTTGATGCTTTCAAAATCTTATAATCTAGGAAGAGCTGTAGAATTATTCCCATAATCTATGCTATGGTCTTTACCCAGAAAGAATCCCTGCTCTCTTGTAGTCATGAGGGGTAGCACTCCTCTTTGGCTTAGAACTGCAAAAAGTCACCTGTTCTTCTGCAACCACAAGCCCTAACTATCCTCTCTGCCTTGGAACTATGTCTTGGGCCATTGCCACCTTATGAATGACTACAAGCATTCCTCTCTGTCCAAGAGCTGTGAGCCAGAACTGAAGATGCCAATAGAGTTGCCAATCAGTGCCAGCTGCATCCAATGCCAGCACAAAAAGTCATTCTTTCTATAAAAGGTAATCTCTTTCTGATCAGTTCTTTGACCCCCTTACTGTCTCTGGACCGAGAACTCCTGAAGCTACTGCTGCCACTATCCGGGGTGTCTCCGAGCCCTGCAATTGCTACTACTCCCACGTGCACTCTGGGCTGACCTCACAAACCTCTCCTGTCAACCTCCTAACCTGTCTTAGGCTGGGAAATAAGCTACTCTGACCTTTTGTTAACTATGCTACTCCAAAATTTGATTTCAAGGCATTATTTTAGAGTTCTTTGAAGGGTGGTGTTTAAAGAGTTCTTCTAGAGATCAAAGCATAGTATTTGCTGTTTTTTTTTCTTCTATTGTGTTTTGTTTCCTCTTTCTTGTGGTTCCTCCTATGGGTTCTAATTCTTACCTACAACATCAGTAATGTGAAAATATGTTTATTAGGAATATATATGTATAGCCTATATCAGATTCCATGTCCTCTTGGGGAAGGGAATGGGGAAGGAGGGAGAGAAAAATTTAAAGCTGGAAAGATTATGGAAGTGAGTTTTTGATAATTCAAAATAAATTGATTAAAAAGAAAAAAATAGTTCTGTTGGGTTGCTGTCTGTGCTCCATCACTTTGGTTCTGCCTCTTCAGTGCAATTTTATTTACAATTTTTAAAAATAATTTTCTGTATTTTTATTTTATGAACTTAAAACTATTCTTCTGAGAAAGGCTTGACTTCTTCAGACTGACAGAGGAATCTATGGCATGAAAGAAGTTAAGAACTTCTAGATTTGATGATCTCTCAGATCCTTTCTAACTTTGAAGATTCTTCTGTGGTTCTGTGAAATCATTCTTTGTCTAAGGGTAGACATAGAACATAAATTCCTAGAAGGCAAAGACTTTAGCACTTTTTTTCTTTGTATCTGCAACCCCTGGATAGTCCTGTCCAAGGAAAACCTCACTCAGCTTCCATTTATCTGCAACTTGCCTATGTCAACTGCTTTCAGATATAGTGAGAATATCGATATTGATAAAGTTCATTTCCATGGTAGAGTATCAACTCCTCGACATTTTGACAGAGATTTCATATTTAAAGTGTCAATAGTTAAAGTTTATAGGTAGCTGAAAAATTGTAATTCTTAGCACTTTTATCTCCTTTTCCATCACTCCATCGCTATACCCTTCAGAAATGAAAGGAGAACCACACCAAACTAAAGGACATTTTGTATTTTTGGCTTGCTCATTTCATTAGTTGCCATAGCTAAATAAATCATCCCCTAGTGCTCTGCCTTCCAATTGTAGTCCTCATAGCTCAGACAGTTGGCCCAGTCTGCCACAAGGATACTATTAGAAACCTTTCCAGCATCACTGAAACTGACTGGGCTTGTGTTTCACTGGAATAGTGTCTAGGAATCCAAGATCACCTCCACACCATGATGAGGCATTAGAATAGGATGTTGTGAAGATCTCCAGGCTCCTGTTGTGGGTTGGTTTACTCCGGTACGTGCCCTATGATGGTAAGCCTGTCTTTACTTTTCATTTCTTTGGAGGCGATGACTTGTATTTCTGACAGTTCAAATTTTTTTCTTTCCTCAGACTCTATAAGAAATCCTCATACAAAGCTATTGGCAGAAATGAGTAAAGCAGGCCAGTTAGATCAGTCTTCCTCAGGAGGTAGGGAAATTATGCAAACAGAAACTTCAAGGGTGACTGATGAATATGCATGGGTGTAGCCCCTGGCTCAGAAGGAATTTTACTAGTTCCTAAATTTGGCTTTGTCTGTCTCATTCTGGATTAATGTACTTAAAAGAAGTTTCAATTTTCCTTTGCCTAACACAGTAAAACAAAACAACAACAACAACAGGTATAACAACAAAAAAACAGCATACCTTCTAGAGTCTTGAGACATCTGGTATCAGGGCCTTATCCATACTGAACCAGTGTTCTGGGAGTGATTACATAAGAAATCTCGTTTCTCATGCTCAGATAAAGACACCGTGGGTGGTGGGGAGGTGAGCCAAAAGAAGCTTGTGATCAATATAAATAACGAAAAAAAAACCATGGAGGTTGAGAAATAGCATGACATAGTAGACAGAGGGCTGGCTTTGGAACCAGGAAGTTTTGGGCTTAAATCCTTACTCTGGTCTATTGACTACATGGTCCTGTTGTAGTCCTTGTTCCGTTGTTTTAGTCTGGTACAACTCTTTGTGACACCATTTGGAGTTTTCTTGGCAGAGATACTGGAGTGGTTTGCCATTTCCTTCTTCAGCTCCTTTTGTAGATGGGGAACTTCAGCAAACAGGGTTAAGTGACTTCACCAGAGTTACACAGCTATTAAGTGTCTGAGGCTAGTTTTGAAATCAGGAAGATGAGTCTTCCAGACTTCAGGCCCAGCACTCTATCCACTGTGCCACCTAGTTGCCCTTGTACATGTCCCTTAACTGATCAGTGCTTCAGGCATTGATAAGTTAAGACTATAAATTATAGAGGAGGTTCTGGTGTTCATTAGTCAATTGAATTTCCTCATCCAGGACTTCCCTATCCTGGTGAAATCTCAGGTCCAGTCACTATCTGTAATCAGATGTATGTATAGAGGCAGTTAACAACAAAAGTTCTTAGTCAATTTCTATTCTTGAGATTTCTTTTCTTGAGATTATACTTAAGTATAAAATATTTGGAGTCTTAGAGTCTTGTATATGTGCAGATATAATACATGTACACATGAATGTATGTACACACACACACACACACACACACACACACACACACACACACACGGCAAAGTACAATTCCAGCACCAAAAAAGTGAAATGCCAGTAGCAATAGCAATTTTTTTTTGGCTAGGCAATGGGGTTAAGTGACTTGCCCAGAGTCACACAGCTAGTAAGTGTCAAGTATCTGAGACCAGTTTTAACTCAGGTCTTCCTGACTCCAGGGCCAATGCTCTATCCACTGTGTCACCTAGCTGCCCCTAGAAATAGCAATTTTTAATAGTTCATTCTATTGCATTTCTACAGACTCAGCTTTTTTATTCTCAATACCATGTGATCCTTTTTTTTAAAAAATTCTCTAGTAGGTCAATAAAATGAAATGGCTTTTGCATTAAGAAAATTTTGGCAAGAATTTAAGAGTGCTTGATAACATTGTGTGCTAGAGCATTAAAGCCAGAGGCTGAAGTTGTGGGCTAAAATCTTATTTTTGACATTTGCTACTTGTATGACCTTGTTTAAGTCATGTAAAATCCCTGGACCTTGGAAGAAATTCAGTTTCTTTATATGTAAAATGAGAGGATTTAACTAAATGACTTCTGAAGTCCTTTCTAAATATAGGTCTAGGTACCTATAAAAGTTTGGAGTTTATATCTTCTTCCTCTTCTTGCTCCTCCTCTTCCTCCTCTTCTTCTCCTCCTCCTCCTCCTCCTTCTCCTTCTCCTCTTCTTCTTCTTCTTCTTCTTCTTCTTCTTCTTCTTCTTCTTCTTCTTCTTCTTCTTCTTCTTCTTCTTCTTCTCCTGGCTTACAAGAACTTTAGTTTGGTTTGAATGACTACTGATGCCATTGATTCAGTAAACTAATAAGATGTGACTTGGGATTCTACCTTTACTTTTCTTTTTCTACCCAAGTAAATCAGGAATTATCAAAATGAAAAAGGACTTCGTAATGAAGTCTTTCTGAGTTTATTCATGGTTGATATTATTACTGGGACATCACTAGAACATATTTAAGACAGATACCATTCCGGAAATCCTAGAAAGTATAGTACTATGGAGCATGAGATATTCCCAAACAATAATTTTCAAACTAAAGATGCTTAACTCAGAAAAGCCATTGAGAATGGTGACAGTCTAGACATCTTTCAGGAGCATTTCTAACAATTAGTCAATAACCACAGTAAACAATTCATTGATGATAGACTTTAGATATGGATGCTGATTAATTATTTTAAGGAAGGTATGCTTGGACTCTCCTCAACATCTTGCCTTGGCTCACCATTAAGTTTTAGTACAAATGCAGTTGGCATAGTCTGCAGGTTTGCATAACCTATTACACTTTATTGAATTAGAAGATTGAGGTCTTCTATTTTTTTAATTCTTAAAATTATATACATAATACACACACACACAGATATACACATAGATATACATATATACACACACACACTTATACACATAAGAATGTATGTATTTATACATATACATTTCTAGCTTTAAATACTTTCAATTTCAAAGCTTTCAATTTATTGCAATGACTGGATTTAAAAATGATGACATGATCTCTCCTTTATAACAAACCCTTAATTATCTATTGAGAACATCCTGTAGGTCTGAATGCATAAATATCTTGGATTTTGATTCCTAGTGGCATGAATACAGACGATAAGCATAATGTTTTCAATGCTTCAAGTATGAGCTTTTTACTCCAAGAAGAATAACTATCTCACTTCTCTAACTGCTTTTCAGACATCTCTAACTGGATGTCCAGTAGACACGTAAAACTCATCCTATCCAAAGCATAACTCGTTATCTTTCCCCCTCAACTCTCCCCTCTTCCTATTACTATAGAAGGCAATGCCATCCTTCCATTCTCTTAGGCTCAAAACCTAGAGTCATCCTGAATTCGTCACTATCTCTCACCCCACCCTGACCTAAGCTACTGCCAAGGCTTGCCTCTTTCACCTTTGCAACATCTTCTAGGTGTCCACCTTCTCTCCTCTGTCGCTGCTACCACTCTAGTTCAGGCCTTCATCACCTTGCACCTGGATGACTGCAATAGCCTGCTAATGGGTCTGCCTACTTCAAGTCTCTCCCTACTCCATTCCATTTTTCACTCAGCCATTTAAGTGATTTTCCTAAAACATAAGTCTCATCATGTCACCTCCCTACTCAATAAACTCCAGGGGCTTCCTATTGCTTCCAAGAAAAAACACAAAATGCTCTGTTGTGCATTCAAAGCCCTTCATAACTTAACCCTCCCCACCCTGATTTTTCCAGTCTTCTTAAACCTTACTTCCCTACACATACTCTTTGATGCATAGACACTGGCATCCTGGCTGTTTCACACACAAAGAAGACGCTGGATTTCTTAACTCAAGGCATTCTCTCTGGCTGTCTCCCATGCCTGGAATGTTCTCCCTCTTCTACTGCAACTACTGATTTCCCTGTATTCCTTCAAGTCCCAACTAAAATTATATCTCCTATAGGAAGCCTTCCGCTATCTTTATTAATCCCAACGCATTCTCTCTGTTAATATTACCTATTTATCCTTTACATAGCTTACTTTGTTTGTATTTGTTTGCATGCTCCCTCCCCATTAGACTGTAAACTTCTTGAGGACATTGAGGATTATTTTTAGCCTCTTTTTGTATCCCAAGTACTTAGTACAGTTCCTGCCACATAGTAGGTGCTTAATAAATGTTTACTGATTTGAAAGGAATGAAATATATACTATAACTTCCAAAAATATCAATCTGTAATTTTGGAGAATATATGATAGCCAAATCAACTTTAGCAATGGATCAATATAGCAAGGAGTCTGATGAAAGATACCTTGTCATTGGCCTTCTGAAGATAACCCACCTCCTGCATTTCAATGAATCATAGAATGATTAGGCTTCAAAGAATCATAGAATGTCACCATTGAAATGCACATCAGAAATAATTTGGTCCGAATCCCTACTTCCCCACCAACATTGCTTCTAATTTTACAGGTGAGGAAATTAAGGAATAAACAAGTGGCATGGCTTGACCAAATAAACATAGTCAGCTCTGGAACTAGATTTAAATACAAGTCTCTAGATTAAAGTCCAATGTCTTTTCCAATACTTTCAAAGATTATATTCTGAAATATCATAGGGTTTAATAGCTATGCAGATGATAATTTAAACATAAAGAGGACTAGAGATAGGGAAGATAGTTACAAAGTCATAATGGTCTGGATGAGGGATTAAGCAGGGCCTGAATTTAGGTGCATAGGGGAAGAGAGAATTGCAAAAATACAGTAGATGTAGAAATAACAAGGCCACATTGCTTCATTCGTGTCTTGTGAATAACCCAAATTACCAGATCCCAGGCAATGAGAACCAGAGCAAAAGTTCTTGAGATTCATTTGTGATCAATTTTGAGTGACATTCTCTTCACAGTCCTTATAGAATCAGTATTCCATCTCCCAAAACCTTTAAGTAGGTATCTGAATAAGGGATGGAAGAGATGAACTAATCTAAGGACAGTATGAACTGTGCATTTCCCTTATTTCTCTTACTTTTTTGTAAAATTTCTGCTTATGTGCTACAAAGAACCTTTTTTTTGGAAAAATTTTGGAAGATTTATCAATGTAGAATGTAATCTCCATGGCTTTTGTATTGGACCATTGCATATGATAAATTTGATCCAGTCCAAAGGCACCACTAGAGGGCTTTATTATGAACTCCTCAAATACAGTATACTGAATCACCTAATGTAAGAAAGTGCCAGAATGGTTTACTGATGCAAGTAGCACTGATCTTCACTATAAGTGGCAATTCCCTCACCAGGGTATTAGTTTCTGAAATATAAATTTTTGAACAATGCCTAATAGTTCTGCTAAAAATATGTTTTCAAATAACCACTCACATTTTAATAATTACACAGATTCTTAGGTGGAATAGTTGATTACAGTGGGGCAACAGGAATGGAACTCACTGACAGATTTTACTTTTGATATTGTAAGAACAGAATAGAAGGATAAGAATACATTAGAATAAAGGTATGGTCTGAATCTAATTACTAGTAATTTGACCTAAAATAATTCTTAAAGTATGACTACATTTGTACTGAAACCTGTTTCACCAAATATTTGCTCTAATTCTTTCCTTGAATATGCCTCTCTAAAAACAAGCCTGTTTATGCATATTGCCCATAAAGTGTATGTCAGAAAAATACCATGCAGATCAATACCACGCAGAATACC